AGCAGGTCAGCCTGCGAGGGGATGGTTTGCCCAACAGCCACCAGCAAATCAGAAAGGCTTTTCTAATTTCTAACTTCTAATTTTCTCTTCCCCTTGTCCAACTGATTTCATCACCTTAAAACAAACAGATCTGAGTAACATTAGAAATGTTAGGACTTAAAAAAATAAAATATGGTAAAAATACAGCTTACCCCTCCGCTAAACCTAAGGCACTACTTTTTGTATGTGGAACGTATTAAAGTCTGGAAGAACATTAAGTCACATCCCAATATATATTATCAAACATTATTGTTACTGTTCTCTTCATTTCAGCTGGTAAAATCCAACTTTTTTTTTTTTTTTTAAACACATGGTTATTATGAGGCTTTGCATGTTAACCAAAACATCAATTACCACATTATGGCATATAAGACATAATATACATTAAATTGTTATTAGTAAGTTTAGCAGCATCTAAATATCAGTACAAGAAGCCACCATTCCACAAATGGTCCAGGAAAGCAGACTTTGCTGAGTTATCTGCTCACAACAGAGAACTGGCAGCAAAGCCAGCTACGTTCCTAAAAGCCAATAAGGGAGAAAAGGGAGTGTCTAAAATCACAAGCTAAAAAGCAGAGGGTAGGCCAGGTGCAGACCATGAAAATATTTAGCCAGCATTCATGAATGTGAGAAAGCCACGATACGGCAACATTTTTAAAATGATCCTCCATGGAACTTTCTCCATGGACTCCACCATTACATGCATGCATGGGGTTCCCACTTTCTTTAAAGAATACCAAATATGGATAAGTATTCATTTACTCTAAAAGTTTCTCATTTGAAACAAGCAAAGCTTCACACATCTAGAATGGAAGTAAAATGGCTCATGTATCATGAGGTCAAACTGAAGCATAATGTTCAAATATAATGGCAGTCAAGACTAGCTTTTGAATGTAAAATACTTAGGCATGCAGAATATGAAAGCAAAATCAATCCTGTACATCTGATGTACACAGAGAGGTGGTCTGTGCTGCAGTAAGTGCAGTTCCAGATTTCAGATCTTCACTACAAAGGAGCATCCACGATAAAGTGGCTTCAAGGGACAAGAGGGCAGAAGGGAGGCCAGACTGTGCGGCCAGTTAATTGGTGACAGGCTGCTAGGGAAGAAAAACATGTAAATAAATAAGTTTGGGGATATACTAACAGGAACGATTCTAAATTGTACAAAACAAGACAATGACCGAGATCTAGTATCCACATCAATAAAATACAAATATGTACTGATAATAATAACAGCAAACAAGAACTTCTGGTTTCTGTTGTGTTGTAGTCCGCAAACTTGCTTGTCAAAGCCAGACCCCTGAATAACTGCTCGCCATGAAAAAAAGAAGGATGCAAATTTACAATTGCCTGATGACCTCTAATATTTTCTCTCTTAAGTCTGATCTCATTCTGAGCCTTGAGCATGTTCGTTTCTGCCCAAATACAGGGCTATACTGAAATCAAGGGTGTTCGTTCATGGAGAGATTGTGGGACTAGGCTAAGAGACTGCAATTTGCCATAAACGTATCTCACTGTTCATGTCACATGTCTGTTGCACACCAAGACCTTGGAAACAACGCAGAGAGAGAGCATCTTTCTCCCCTGTGTGGCTGCATCAGCAAGGGCAATCACATGCAGATGGGTATGTTGCACATATGTACAACATATCAAATAGCCTGAGAGAGTTTAAAATGTTCCATTTATCCAATTTTCATTTTGTACATTTACAATACAAATTAAACTCTCTAAAGTTGGTCTTTTAAAAGACATCATTAAGAACAGCAGTGGGCAGAGAGCAAGCAGACTCCCGTTGGCTCTGCATCCGCCAGGCAGTTATGCCACGGGTTAAGGCAGCGCAAGCGTATGTCCCCTCCTGCCCACCGACATATGGCAGCCCAGCTACCCAAGGGCCATCGCTACCAGTTCTAATTCTGTGCTTCACTCAGTTTTTGGCATTTCTCCTGAAAAAGGCAGCAGAGGCAGGTTAGTGGGACTGCAGAGAAGGGTTTTGATTGGATTCACATTGCATATATGAAGTGAGTATGTATATATTCATAAATAAATATACATACATACATATATATAAAAATTGTCATTTGCTTTATAAAGTTCATCCATGGATGCTAGATAAAAGCTAGGCTGAGCGGGCTATTTAGTTTGTGACAATCTCATCCAACACAGAGATTAAAATATCTATTCTCTATTAAAACCTATTTATTGCTAAGGCCCCCTCTGCCTACACAGCACTATACTGACTTCAGTGAAAGCTCATGCTGGATGAACAAATTTGTAGCAGTAGATCCAGCCAAATTTGAAATTGCTCAAATAAGTCAGAAGAAACTGAAAAGGTCCACTCCATTCTTTCATACGCTTTCTGCATTCCAGTATCTCATAAAAAAAGAAGATATATCACCTAACATAGTTGGATGAAGAGAATTTGAGAAAACTATTAGCCTTGCACTACTTGATCCCCCTAGTGGTAACCCTCTTTAAAGGCAAAAATGTATTTTATCATCCACTTTCATGAACAGAAACAGGCATTCGCGAAGTAAAATGCTGCAATCTTTCCCACGGTTCTTGAAAAATAAATACTTTTTCTTCTGAAACATACTAATCTATTTAAAAATACAAAGAAGATGTTCCAGCTGCTAAGAAGCACAAAAAGAAAAATCTATTCACCTTTTTGGAACAAGGTATGAATCTAGCAAAATAATTCTATGTCCTTGTAAAGAAACTGCCATACAGATGAACTGTACACAGGGCTGGATGAGCGTTCTTTACCTTGTGTACTGATTCTCCAGGAAACGTCCTCTATTTCCATCCTCTCTTTTAATTCTGAATTTATCTTTCAAATAAAACACTAGATTCAATACATAATATCATATGCACGCACAACTCCTTTTCGCCTATTTTTATGCCTGAGACACAAATCAGGTAGTTTGGAACAGACTAAATGAAAACTTAGTCCAGCCAAAAACCTTACAGGAAGCTGTTGGAAAAGAAAAAGCTGCCTGGACCAAAGTAGCTCTTGATAGAACATTTATTTCCTAATCTCAAGTTACACTTTCAAATTCACACACTTTTAAGTCCCGTGGTTGACGCGATTCTATACCCGTTAAGTTAGGAATACAAATACAGTATGATATTGCAAGGAACCGCTGGAAAAATACATGTCAAATTTGCTTTATTTGCAGTGACATCTCCCAGCGTTAAGACTGATACCTACTTGCAAAAAGGAGTTTTTAATAGTAACTTTAAAAAGAAGCTGCAGCAGTGGAACAAGTGCAGAAATCAATTCTATACTGTACGTATTTTCTAATGTCTTCTCATTACTTTTAAGTGTGGAAAGTGACTCATGAATTTCTTTAAACATCATATTGATTGGTACCAGTTCTACCTTCAAATATGACCTTTGAGCTAATACAAGGCTTGCGTAATTAGAATGAATTCAAAACTAAAAGCCATTTAAAGATGACATAGCTGAAGAAATATTAATCCATGTAAGTCTATGTAAAAGTCCATGTAATCCCCTTCTATAGATAAAATCATTCCTCATTTTACACTTGCCAGATTTTGGCCCCGATTAAGAATCCTTGCAGCTTTTGATTCCCATGAACTTTCAGCTACTGATGGTGTGAAATGGGATGTCTTTTGCCCTACCTGTAGCAGCAGCAGATTATTTTCTCTGCTTGAGAAGAGCCAGAAATATTTTAAAGAACCCACCAGAAATGGAAAAGTGAAAAAAGCTTCTGATCTACATCCTGCCCTGAAGCAAATTATCATTCTTTGTTTAACATTAGACATAATGTATACTCACATCCAGGTAAGATAAATACAAGGGAAGCTGGCAGGTAATGTTTGTCATGTGTTTTCTAGAAGCGGCTCCTTCATTATTTATTTATAAACATACACACACACACTGTTGGTTTTTGCTCAATTGCACTGAATATAGGTTATTGACAGGTTTCTCGGAGTGTCTCTAGTATGAGATTTAAAGTAAATTCTTTCCTTTCCTTGCATATTCTCATCTAAGGAAAACACAGTGCCAGAAGGGCTCCTGTACAATGTGCAGACTTTATAGTGAAGCGTAATATGAAAGGACCATTTGCTGCAAAAGTGAGGTAAAATGAGCATCTGGTGACCAGAGGTTATGCTCCTAAGCTCTTAAACTAGTGCAACTGCATGGCACATTATTTTCCAGTCATTGTTTTGTTTCCTTTGGGCTTTTCAGCATCTGAAAATCCCAATTTCAGCACCTACTTCCTGCTTTCTGCACAAAATCCAAGTAATAACGATGATCATTTTAGACAGCGCTTCTGTACTAATGTCTTACAGTGGTACTCATATCGTCTGTTTGATGTCGTATCATCTGATCTTTCTTACAGTCCTAATTAGCATCTTCTGAATCACATCCGTGCCATCGTGGATGAGTTTAGAAAACAATACAGAACACACAAACAGGATGCTCAAAGTAACTTGAAGCAAGCAGTATGATACTCTCCTATGAACAAAGTATTAATTGGTCTTTAGCTCATTAAAAATTTCAGTAACTTCCAGGTGAGTATTTCCTACATAAGGTTTTGTGGAAAAGAGCATGTGTGTGTGCTATTACATGTTTTCTTCTTCCATTTTTCAACTTAAAAGGTTAGTTTTTATGCAAGAAGTTCTGTTTCACAGTTAATTTGGAGAGAAAATGAAAAATAGCATCTTTGGCATGGGAAGAAATTTGGGCACTACACACTGTTGAACTGCTACAGTTCCACTGGCTGCGGAAAAGAGGCTGTAAAGAGATGGCCTAAGTTGGAGCTAAAGATGGGAGAAGAAAGAAATTGAATTACAGTTCACGGAGGAAGGAATTTCTCTTTCCATTCCCACAAAGAACACAGGCCCAAATCCTCTTAATTTTGTACCTTCATATGGGTCATAAAAATGATCAACACTGAGAGGCCAACCTGACTTAAAACCCAGGAGGCATCAGCCGCCACTCCTTCTCCCCTCGACATTTGAGAGTCATCCTCTTTGTTTAAATTTTATCACATACAGCAGAGCATGTTCAGTCCATTTCCCTAGTTACACTGCTCCTGATATGAAATACATCAACACTCTGAATATACATTTAAAATTGTACTTGTCTTTCACTTATTTGCAGCCTCTGTTGCAGTCAGTCACTCACATGTACTTCCGTACTTACCATTGGAAGGTCTTTGAGAATCTGTATACCATCTCCTGGACCCATATGTGCTATGTGGTTAAAATTAGTTGGGTTAGAAATTAATTTATTTCTCATTTCTGGATCACGTAGCATCTCCCTGGAAGAGAAAATACTTTCTTTAGGTATTTTGTTGCAGGTGAGGATGGACATCTATAAAACATGTACAGCTCTGATTATCAGCTACTTTTAAATGGAAATCAGCTATTTAACCATGTTAACTGCGATAAACCCTTGCTATCAGCACTGGCAAGCTTCCAGCTTGAAGACAGGACAAGGGGCCAGAAGAGAAGAATGCTGATTGCAGGCTAACAGCCCGCGCTCAGTAGTTACTAACATTCAAAGAATATACAATCACTATGAGCTGATAAAAAGCTCTGTAAGATGAGTAAAAGCAGAACTCGTTTGTGATGTATTACAAAGTGGAGATGAAAATGAAGTACAAAATATGAAAATAGAATTAAAATAATGCTGCAGTACCTTTCTCAGTCTGTGGTCAGAATTAAAACCTCTTCAAAATGTCAAGGATGCATTTCAGAACTCAGAATAAATAAAATTTTAAAAGACCAAACCGCAATCAGCTCAGAAAAGGCAAGGACAAGAACTGGAATTTTATCTCTACTGTACACAGCTGTTACTTTTCTTAGAGCCAAAGAGAAAGGAAAGCTGGGAGCCAACCATCGGTGGAAGACGTTGAAAGTTAGACAACTGAAATACTCAGTTCTTGGAGCGTAGCTTAACACAGTAGCAGGTCATCTTTCGTAAGTGGTCAGTAACATCCTCTGTGAACACTGTGAGTAGTGCAGCCCTATTTTTATTGCCATTGAGGAAAGTATTTGTGACCTCTTAAAGCCTTCTATTACAAACGCATCCTGAAGTCCTATGCCCTCTGAAGAGGTGAGTTTGCTGAGATTTATAGAATGTTTATGTAGTTAAATCTATAAATCAAAAAAGCAGATGCCTTGGAATACTGCTGAGAGTAGAATTGCCTTCAGAAAGAAAAGCAGAACCAGAGTCTGAAAGTAATTAATCCATATGCAGAGTTAGCAATGTAATCTCCTTTTGCGAAGTGTTTATTACAGATCTTTATATATACAGTATATGTGCACATCTATGTACCTATATACAGTATGTGGAGACATGCATTCCAAATTACAGCTGATTCACATAATTAATTTAAATTAATCAATACTCATGTATCCAGTGCATATCCATATCCAAACTGGTATTAACACAAATTAAACATCAAGAATTAACGCGGTAGTGAAGAGACAAACACCTGAATGGGCACTCCAGAGAGCAACAAATGAAGTATTACATTGGCATCACTCACTGTCCTTCAGGGCCTACAGGCGTGTACAGAAGACAAGTACGTGTTGAATACCGACCTCCTCTGCTGCATCCTCTCCTCCTCTGGTACTCTGAATGAATAGCGGCGCTTGTTGTTGATGTTTCGAACCATTTGCTTCCGGCTGTTATCTGATGTCTCAGGAACTACCAGTTCATCACCCTCTGAAATCAACAGAAATATGATGATCCAGTGGGACAATTCATTAGGTATTCACGGAATTTGAATTCAAAGACATTTTCTCCCTCTGCTCTTGCTAGTGCTGGACACCACCCATTTCCCATCAAACCTGAAAAAATGCTCCTTAGTTTATGGGTTTTCTTGGTCACTGCCTACTCTGTTATATAGTAACAGACTTAATCCTTCTTCACACACAGGCTGCCACAACTGTGTTCTCAAAATACCACTGATTAATTCTTTCAAACAAAACATTTAGGTGGGCAGGAATGGATCTCAGTCCTCTATCTCAAACTTGCTTTGGCAGTTCTCACTGAAAATCACTAGAACAGCCTTGTTCTGCCAATTGTCTGGAAACTCAGTGCAAGATTCTTTTTCATTCATCCCCTACTCCTTTTGAGATGTTTGAACACTGATGTGTTTTAGTGCAACTGTGGGAAAAGGGAAGATTTTTCCACATGTGTACGTTTGGCCAAGGCATCTTTATTAAAGACATGAAATGTATAGCAGTGATAATCATACAATAGGAGCGTTACTTTGCATGAACGCTGCAACTGCTCTGTCTTGTTTTATATATATGGAGACTAAAGTAACATTTAACAAGCTTGAACATACCCAACACCTACTGCTCACTGCCAAGACAGTTTTTGTATGGCACTGAAATCTCTTCTTGCCTTAAGATCAGCTGGAGATTTCATGAAGTCTGGGATCTACTAGATGTAGCTTCAGGAAAAAAACTTGCAGACTTTTAAAGAGATACACCTGGAGGATACTTTACTGTTTGGCAACCTTTTCTGAAAGACAGTGAGAAGTGTACAGGAGCAAAAGATCAGCCTTACTCACTTCTGATCCTATGCTCTCCAGTTTTTTTTTCCCTCTTCTGCTCTACTTTTAATGTTCAATCTTTATGAGACTTGAAAATTCTTTATACATAACTTCCACCATATTGCTCCTCTCTACCACTGTCACTCCTTTTGTTCTAATTTGCTAGCAATTTAAATAAACGCTGAAACACCGCCAACAGCAGTATGTGTTTCTAGAGTGTTTATTTCCACTATTTTCAGAATAGCTGTTAAAAAATTATAGCTTTTGATTGTTAAAACAAAGCACATCCACTCTCCATCTAAGAGGTTAAACAAAAGGTTAAGGAAATTATTCAGGACCATGCTTATGAAATGGGCTCTGAAAAGAAAAAAAAGGTCAAAAAGACTTATAACAAAAATAGAATTCTGAAGTTAAAACTCTGGCACACAATCATTTGTGGCCCTAAAACCAAGTTATGAATACATAATACTATATTACTTTCTGATCCTTGGGAAAGGTTTGTTTAGGTTAGGTATAGTATTTTAATCTAGTACAGCCAAGATCACTATTAAAGTCTTTAATTGTGCAGGCATTTTTAGATAGCATTCTGGCAGGTGATCCCAGATTTGGAGGGAGCATCTTGTCATTCTATTTTCTATTTCCAATCTTCATGGAAGTCTTCACTGAATATTCAAAAGGGGAAAAAAAAGTTCAGAGTAGCTGCCTAGCAGACACCATTGCAATCACCATGGAATTTACAAGCTTTGGCTTTCTCCCAAATTAACAAGCACATATATGTTTGAGAGATCACTTTCTACAATGCACAGATCCAGGCCAAAGAAAAATGCTCTTTCTAAACAAAAATTTGCATGATGAAAATTGGCTTCTCTTTACTTACCCGCCATTTTGTTTTTGAAATATATTAATCTAACTGTCTCCAGGCCTAAAAGGTTTAGTGATCCTTCTGTATTCAAGGGTCGTACCTGAAACAAGGAAAATCAGTCCTTATAACAGTAATAACTCACATTTATATACTACATCTTATTCTGAAAGCTCCAAGGTGCATTATAAACTCCGTAAAAGGAGCGCTGTTATAAAGCCAACCAGGGAGCAGAACAGCGTAGCTGGCCAGAGGAAAGCCTGCTCCACAGAAGTAGTACAGGCTGGAGGGAGCCACGTCTCCTAACTCCAGTAACACATGCCTGCTCTCAAGAATAGCTATTGTGAGTTATTAAAGCCACGAAGCAGAGTTAAAACAAATTTTAGATTCTAAAACTTCTGTTTGGAGAACGAGTACAGAGGGATTTGCCTAAAATTCCGCTTAAAGACATAGGCTTAACACACCATTCCTCTCAGCATTTAAATAAATAGTTCTGTTAGAAGTCTACTTCATATAACAATTCAATTTTGTCTATTAGATGCACAAAGCAATAAGCTGTGCTTTTACTTTGTGTTGGTATCACATCACAATTATGCTTTGCAACTTGATACGAGTATATACAGATTGCTAAAACCACTGGTATTTGTGATTTCCAACTTCAAAATGAAAGAAGCATTCCACTCTCCGAGTCTGCAAATTGTGTTAGAAACAAACTCTGCATTAATAAATTGCCATTTTTGAGTCTCCTAGATGCAGTAATTCTTGTTTGTTGAAAGTAGCTTCATTCATTAAATGGGAAGTCTTGAGCCAAATATTAATCAAAGTACTAAATCACATTCTGCTGTGTAGGAACAAAATGCTCCAACTGCTTAATAACTCAAAGTTTGGACATTAGAAAGAGTAGAGGAAATTTCCTCTAAAAGGCCATATTCTTCTTCTCTCCTTAAGATGGTTAATAGCTGAGCACCCTGATCTTTGCATTATTTATCCTCACAGTATTGCCGTAATATCCTTGTCTGCGTCTGACATGTGGGAAACTGATATGCAGAGAGACTGGATGACTAACACAAGACCACAAGGACAATTTCTTGTAGTTCTAGGTCCTTGGAATACCAGTTAAAGGAATTATGTTGACACTAATACAAAGCTGAAGTCACGCTAAACTATGGGAAAACCACCACTTTTCTTTTTTCTTTCCAAATACAGCTGGGCAAACAACTCCTAAATGCCAAGGAAGTGTCAGTTTTCAAAAACTTCTTCCTTTTGATAAGTGATCCAACCTGACATCACCATGGTGTTTTAATATTTGTACTGATTGAACCAAAATGTTCTAACCCTATCTGTCTACAATGTCCTCAAGCAGCAGAAGACAGATTTTTGAAGGCCCGTTTAATTATCCACCTGTTTAACATCCACCATCTTCTGGCAATAACATAGATGCAACCAGTCCCAATGAAGCCATATGCAATTAATACCAAGAAACTGCTCTCTACAATAGTATCAGTAAGTCTAACACGCTCATATGCTCCAGATTGACCATTCGTCTAAAACACTGAAACCACATGCAAAACCCATTTCATATCTTATACTTCAAACAAAAAGTGCTGGTTTCTTTGCAGCAGCTCTTCTTTTAGTTCAATTATTTTTAAACAATCAGTTGTAATGACGCCTTACAATGCGCTTAAAAACCTGGTGTGACTGTAGTAAAGCAACACTGAGTCTAGACATATTCTTCAACTGATATTGAAACAGCAAGTTACCTTTTTGAGAGGAATAGTCTGAATCCACTCCATGGAGTTCACGTCAAAGATATCAATTGCATTTTCACTGTACACAGAGAGGTATGGTGCATTGTAACCTGAGAGGTAAGGATTAGGTATAGTGTCATGTCAGGGCTATGACATGTTGTGTCATAGACAGGGCTCAAAATAGACAACTTCGTATGTTTTAACCATATTTATTACAAAAAACCCCACCCCACAATCCAAAAGCAGTCTTTGTAAAATGTGTTTTAACTCAAAAATGACCAAGAAATTTATTCTGAACCACCACCAAAAAACCTAAAGCCTCCATGACTTTTAACATTGCAGAACCAAACCACTTTTTGAACTACAAGGGAGTACAGTTTAGTCTGCCAAACACTGATGTGGTCCAAAGTTTTCTTCTTCTAAAAGCCCTATTTTTAAGAGCTCGTATTTTGTAAATGATGTGGTAGGAAAATATATTGTTGTTATTTAATAGCTGTCGTTTGAATGAACTGAGCTCTTAGTCTTTGTACCATGTACTAAATGAACATCAGTTGGATCTAAGCACCATGACACAGTCATAAAAATCTTCATGTTTCCTTCTAGCTTTAAATGCTCTTTTCTTATTTTCAGGATTGTAGAGAACTCTTGTGCTACTCATCTGGCACATTTCCCCAGGACGAAATTTGTTCCACTGGGACCACTTCTAAAGGAGAATTCAGTATTTCCATGTCAGCAACAGGACTGCCATGGTCTGCCAAGACTAACAAGAGCATCCAATTTGTGTTTAAATGTAACAGTTTTTGCTATAAAATATACCTCCATTCTGAGTTGGAATAGCATCAAGTAACTTCATTTAAGGCAATCAAAAAACTTTCACAAATATCAATGGCCATTATAGATGAACTACATGTGAAAATACCTGTTTTTCAATCTATCACAAAATCTTTTATTTCGATTCATTCATTCTCTGATTCCATTGTAATAATCACACTCTTGCTTGAAAACCAGAAGTGACATATAGCCTGTAAAAGTTGCTCCTTCCAGATTCAGAAGAGGCTTCACTCAAACAGGGTGAAACATTCCTCTCCTCTGCAGCTTGACTATACTGCTGTCACAGTGAGGTAAGGCGGCAGACTATTTTAAAAAATCAACATAAGACTGGGCTGATTCACAGATACACCAAGGACAAATCTGGCTAATCCTTAGCTGCATTCAGAAAGACATTAAAAAAAAGAAGAGGGGCATTGCAGGTTGTTTTTTTTTCCTCCAACTGTCACAAAGATAAAGCCCCAGCTTTGAAAAAAACATGCAATAAATGTTTAACAGAGCTCTTGCTAGAAACTGAAATCTTGAAAAATTACAGTATTTTTTCCCTTAAGGTTATGAAATATATTTTTTATACTGCCTGCCATACATTGTATGTTGGAAAGGAAGAGGGAGGCAGAGGGGGAAAAACTTAAAAACTGATTTTTCAAAAAAGCAAGGAGAGAAGATGAATGAGAAGAGTGTCAACAAAAACTGCTGAAAAAGAGAGAATGAAGGAGTAAGGAAAGAAAAGGAAAATAAAACATTAAGTAGGAATAAACACCATTAGAGAAAAACAAATCAAACTAGCAGATCTTGATGACTCTGAACATCAAGAAAGCTTGAATCACAATGCTGAGCCAAAGTACAATCAAATTTTAAGACTTTAAATAATAACAGTCCAGTATCAGTGGTAGCAAATGCATACAGATCCCATCAGCCTCTGTAAGGACCTGAGTCTTTCAGCTGTTTTAGAGATCAGGCCATGTGTTTAGAAATAGGACATCAGAGTTAGAAATCCTGACCCTTGATTCCTCTTTGTGCTACAACAGCACAGGCCAGTGACACAGTTGTCAAAACCAGCATAATTGAGATCAGCATTAAACCCTCTGACTAGATTAAAAATGCTGACAGAAGCTGGGAGCGTTCATTCACCTGTCAGGTAATTATCCTTGAACTTCACTTCCTGTGGATATTAATACAAGCAGTGATCACTTCAATGTATAATAGCAAGTACACTGAGACACACAGCAACTTACAGCAAGAAGATGGAGTTGCGGGCCACATCAATTCTTGTTGTCTAGATCTTCGGCCCTGGCAGTCAACGTAAACCCCTACGCTGCTAAAACACAGCAGGTATTCTTTATTTGAGATTTCGACTGCACAGATGGCATCAGTTGGCTGCTGTGAGATAAATGATAGTGTGTGGTCATCTGGATGGAGCAGACTGTACGGGCTGCCTTCTCCGTGGAGGGGATATTTTAAGAAACCTGACTGGTAGCCCACACAAAGACGGTCACTGAAGACTGACATCCACTGGACGTTCCCCTGGACTTGGATCTCCTTGATCTTTTTGTGACGTGTTTTGCTCTGATTTAGTTCATAACAGAGGACCTGCCTTTTCATAGCTACACACAGGCATGTAAAAGCTCCGTGGCGCACATGTCCTGAAACTATTGACTGACAGCCTTTTGTCTCTGCCAGCTTATAAAACTCAGTCTCCCTTCCATCCAGGGCAGCCATGGGGAAAAGCCGCACATGCCGGTTTCGTCCTGAGATTACTGCAATGAGCTGTTCATTTGGGATAAGCTCAATCTGATGAACCTTCTTATTGTCACCAACACGGATAATCTCTAAAAAAAACCAAAACAAAACCCCCCAAATCCAAGTAAATAACGTTGAAGTGTGAATTGATTATAACATATGTATTTGTAAAGATAAACTCTGAAGGAAACCCAAGAAATCCCCTTTATTACTTCCATGCAATATTAAGAAGTACCTAATAAAAACTTGTATTTTAATAATACCAGATGTGGCAATGCTGGATAGACCTTTGGCTTTTCCTCATCAGAAAAAGGGAGGAGCAGATCCAATGCAAAAACAATCACCGTATTATTTCAGTATTCATTTCAAAAACAGTTTGTAGGCACAGAACTACTGAATAAAGGAAAACCCTCAAAGAACTGAAACATCCAATCAAACATGTTGCTTGTTGAATTAGCTTGGGCATCTGTCATTACATCTCTTTACAGTACTGAACATAAGTTTTCATTTCCAATACCAAGGAGGAGGTTAGAGAAAGGATCAAGCCAGGCTCCTTAGTGAGGCGGACAGCAGGAGAAGAGAAGACAATAGTCACAAACTGAAATGAGGGAGGCCTCTACTGGATATAAAAAGAAAATGTTTCATTGTGAGAATAATTTGCAACAGGCAGCCCAGAGAGATTGTGGAACCTCCGTCCTCAGAGATTTTCAAGACCCGCCTGGACAAAGTCCTGAGCAACCAGGTCTGAATTCAGTACTGAGTCTGCTTCAAACAAGGGAAGAAAACCTTCAACTGCATTCCAGATGCTGGATCTTTGTTACTGGAAAGGATACCCAAAACAGAAAGCACACAGAACACCTTCTCGATTATCAGCTCTCACATGGGGCTGTTCAGCTGATAACGTAGTAAATCAAGAAAAATGAAACCAGAGGATATTGAAAGAGAAAAAAGCTTACAAAGTCACTTTCTGATTATTTAATATTAGGGAAATTATTACCAGTTCCTAATCTCTTACCATCTTTGGTGACGTGCACAACAAATAATCCTTCTTCATTCCCCAGAGCTATTCTTTCATGGTCTATGATATTTAAAAAAAAAAAAAAAAGTTATTTTTCTTTGGAAATACTTAATCAACAATAGTGATAATTCTGATTAACAGAGACAGTTTTTTAATATCTTGAAATAAACAAATATAAAGCCAAACCCAACACATTCATGTAATAAAACAAACATTGGTAACCTCCCAATCTTTCAAATTTCTGAAAAAATAAGTCTTTTCCCATTTCCCAGGAGTAACAGCAAGAAATATCATTTTTCGTAAACCATTCAGAGCACTTAAGTGGACTACTGACTTTGAAATAACTATAATATCATATTTAAATAATAATTTAAATAATCACTTTAACATAATTTATGCAATAGCATTTAAAATTACTAAATTAATTCTCTGCTTTTACGTTTTCTCTCTGGTCCCAGAAGCAGATTTTGGAAAGTCAGTGATTTGCGTCTATTCTATAGTGCTAATTTTGCCCAATTAAGAAATTATGTTTACAGAATAAGAAGAGAGTAATGTCCAATTCTCAGTCAAAATGATTCATAATTATGAATATGTGTGAATAGGGGGAATATTCTTAAAGATCTGACAAGAGTATTGGGTAGTAAATTGCACTTCTCTCTTAAACCCGTACACATTTCCATATAGGATAAAAACACTACATATTACTCTCTAGTCAGCAGATAACACCATTTAACATGTTTGGGTTTGGTTTTTTTTGTTTGCTTGTTTTTTTGTTTTTTTTTTTGTTTTTTTTTTTTTAAAAGCATGCTTTTAGCATATCCATTGTTCTTAGAGCTTTCTTCTTATTCAGTTTATACCTATGATCGCTGCTGACTGTGTTGTTTTGATGAGTGGTAAGGTGCTGTCATAAGCTTCTTTGGGAACATAGACTGAGCGGTCTTTGAGTTTGTTCTTCTTCAAGATCCTATGCAATTCATTCAGCACTCCTACCCACTTGCTTTTTTCATTCTCACCGTCTGCTAGAATCAGGATTGAACACTTATTACTGGATGCAGAGAGCTGGGAGGCTGTGACCTGGAAAATTTTAAAATAGATATTTTAAGTCATAAGTGATAAAAAAATTCATCGTGATCATTTTGGTTTGACTCGATGATCTCAGAGGTCTTTTCCAACCTTAATGATTCTACGATTTTTACAAGGGATGCCTATAAGTGCCCTTTTAATTAACTGTCTGAACTACGAATGCAAAACTTCAGCCTTAGTTACCAGAAAACACTCTATCGCAATCAAAAACCCACAGCGGAAAAACCTGTAGATGTGAATAACTCAGCAAAGAACTGAGAAAACTTTGCCTTTATTCTAAATGCATTTGTAATTATTCCATAATTTGGAAGTGTCTGCCCTAAATAAGGTAGTCATCTGTTTCTCACAGCAATTTCTGACAAAATATTCTGCATTTTTTAAAGACCAATAGTTTTCATTAATAATTTAATGCAATAGGAATGGTCTTTATGGTAGAATGATCTATGATCCTTTTCATGTATTTGGTACAGCTATTACAGATAAAAATGAAAGCCTCTTTTGTAGGTTTATCTCTTCTCAGCATGCAGAGTGATGAACAGTCTGAAAGCCGGAAAAACAAGGAGTGAAATGCAATGGTATAGTAAAGAAATGATAAGGGAATTAATAAGACACTGAAGATATTTCATTGAGGTCAAAGCTTCAAGAGCATATCTAGTAAAAATAAGAAGAATATTAGAACAAGCCAATGATGGCAAAATCCTGATTCCAGATAATAGACATAAATTTTGATGAGTATTTTACACTAGATTTCTATACTGACTACCTGATGAATGGGAGTTGTCAGAGATCCAATGCGTACATACAAAGAAAATATATAAAATAAAGGCTTTAGGAATAACACAACAAATTAAACTGAGAAGCAGAAGGCAACTTTAGGAAATGAAAACGTAGAAGGTCATGAAGAACAGAAGAATTCCAAATGACTAACAGGAGGTTAAGAAAAGTATGTCTTATTATAAAGGTTAAGAAAAAAAATTAAACCCACTTAAGGGGGAGATGAGAGCTTGTCTAAATGTACCAGAGCTATTTTTACCACGAAAATGACATATGTACAGATCCTTATGCACTGCTGCTACCATGGATACCATACAGCCAGAACTTGCAAAGGAAATAAAATACTAGCAAGCTGTCAGTGAATGCACACGGTACATCACGCTGTGAAACCCTGTGCTTCTGGGTTACTAGGTTCAAGACGCAATACTTACCCTAAAGATACAGGGGATATCTTTTCGATTTGCATGGATGACATCTGAGGCCAAGACAGAACTCACTGAGAATTCTTCATCCCTTATAGAGACCACAAACATAATTGGAAAGAGTTAGAGAGCAAAATCTGTATGTTTGTTTTTTACTTATATTTCCATAGTACCAATAGCCTTGTTTTGTGAAGGAAACAACAAGGCAGCACTGAGCCTAATTTTTAAAATTATCCTTTCCTCTTCATCTGCAGATGAAACCCAAATGCACTGCTACATAATTAATTAATGGTAAATGCTGATGGAGATAAATCTATTCAGAGTATCTGGTTTTTTCCTCTTCAAATTTAAACTTTAAAAAAAAAAAAATCAAACTTAAAAAATAAGCCTGGACAAAGAACACCCCTCCAACTCTTTCATAAAAATCTAAACTCACTAGAAGCTATAAGCTACAGCTGTTTGAGACTTCCTGGATAAACTAACCTAGTTCAGAGATGAGCTTTACTTAGTTGGTATGTTAAATGTTCTCAACCTTCAGTGAAGTTGGTAGTATTTCAGTAATACTGAAGACAGTGCGAACAAACTATTTAGCCCTTCTGAATCAAAAATTGTATTAGTTTTATCCCATAACGAAGTTTTATCTTTCAAAAATCTACCCAACTCCAAAAGAATGTATTTTTCTTCTTTATTCATTCCAGATCTTCTACACAGCTGAACAGATGCATTTTGGCACGTGATGTAGTAATGGAAGTTTAAATTCTCACATATGAACACACAAGTGTAGTTCAGGCTAACTGCAAATACTGCTTTTTTCCAGAAAATTAGAGGCTCTCAACGTGTATTACAGTGTTTCATAAAAGCTCTGGAGCTTGCTTACTGATTTCACAAAATGGAAAAGTAGAAAAAAACCTCCCAGTGCCTCTGAAAAGCTCCCACTCAGCACCAAACAGCTTACCTCATGTCTATGACCTGACTCACTACCACGCTGGGCTGGGATGCTTTTCCTTCTGCTACATCATATAGGAAGAGTTTAAAATCACAGATCACTGCCAGTGCTCTCTGCCAACCTTTCTTTACTCCAGCTGGTTTTGGTACCTTTAGCAAAACAAATTCTGATCAACTCTCTGTAAGTTTGCATGCAATCATAAATCAAACAGAGAGCACAAAAATCAATTCTCTCATCTAGGCTGACAAGCTTTTATTCAGTGATAACGTTAAGCAACATAAGCAATAGCACAGGTGCAGTAAGAGCATCAAACACAGACACCACAATACATTATTTAAAAAATTCGCAGCACCACAGATTCTTTCTTCTTATTTCACAAACTCATTCAAAGGTATATTAACAAATATGGAGAAAGAAACCCATCTCTAGTTGGTCAACAGGAATATGACCAAAACTATGTTGAGTAATTTTTTTAGTATTTATGTACAAGTATCCACACCAATGACCCTAGACATCAACAGAAAGACTCAAAAACTCAAATGCCCTGGAAGATTATCTGATCTCCAGAGATGGACTATTCAAGACCAACTCAAAGAAAGCACAATGGGCAACAGAGATGGAGAGAGAATTACTGTTGAAAATGCCAAGAGTTGCTTTGTGAAAATTTAGGTCTAAGTTTCCAAACTGTTACCTTACCCCCGGCACCCCAATTAGAGTTTAATTCCAGCTCCAGAAAACAACAAATTTAATATAAGTGCCCCAAATGCAGCTACCTGATACTTACTCGGACATGTCCTTCGTAAGCTGTTCCTATGCCTTTATGCGGATCTATTCCCAAAGGTCCCTTAGTCTGTTCAGGAGGGATTGGACATACTGCAGGAGCCTTGTCTGCACAGGTCACGTGGCAAGAGAATCCACATACTTGCGAGGAGGAGAAGAAACAAAAAGATTTGATGGTTATTTCTTGCGCAATGCAAAAGCTATGATAATGACAATGACGTTTATAAAGGAATCCACTCTTTTTTTGACCAACTACTGAATAGTTTCACTGAACTTTGCTACACCAGGACAGAAATGTAAGTCTGCGCACAGCAGCAGTTCATGCTTTTATCTGCTCTAAATTCTGATTTTCTCATTTTCAGAGGTGTATGAATACACAGTCTGGTTTCATCCAGGTAAGAAAGAGCCTAATCAGAAGCTCATAGATAATGTCTATGATTTCCTCTAGGCCCAACTCTACTAGTGAGAAAAAAGCTGGAAACTCCTTTAAATGATGTCATTCTGTGTACACAGAAACCTAGAATAGATCAGTCCTGGAAAGAAGCAAAATTGGTACTGAATGGCAAAGCTGGCTTCCATTTTGCCCTGAGTCAGAAAGCAAAGCTGCTGTGGGCATACTTGACCACTGACTGTGGTCTCTTATTGCTTACTGAACTAAGCTCTTCTACCACCAACTGGAGTAAGTATGTCCCCAGATAACTAGGTAATCTGCCCCATAAGATGTTCAAAGTGCCTGGCTTCCACTCTTAAAAGACTGAAGCACAAGAATATTTTCTGTTATTCAAAATATAAACAGAAGACTCCTGCATTATCACACCACAACATCTACTGTGCAATTTGCACCTGTAAGAACTTCAGTTCACATTTCCTGCTTTCACAAGTGCTCACCTTCACAAGTACAGCCCTGTCGTATTAAACCGACCATCAGAGATGTGCACTGGTTGCATTTTGTTGGTGTATTAAACGATTTCACTACAAACTGGTGGGCTTTAGGCTGTGAAACAAGGAGACAAGAACGTTAATACCTGTAACACTTCTGAACAACAGTTGTTTTTTTTTTTTTCACAGACATAACAGTGCACAGGTGCACTTAAAAAGGTAGCTTATTTGTGTTTGCTGAAATGAGATCTGAACTCCTAACACATGGGCTGAAAAAAATTACTTATCAGTGGTCGTTACTGATAATTTAAACCATCCTCTGTAAATGAAACCATGGAAACTGGACCTTGTCTCAGAACACGAGTTTGCTTCCATTGCAGATAGGAAAGTTGCCAAAGTTATTCCATTACACTTTAGAAGTTCAACGTGTGTATGTACGTGCTTGATGGGCACCTGGCAGCCAGCCAAGGTCAACCCACCACAGTATTTTCTAAGCTGCAAACTCAATGCTCCTCTGTAAGGAGTGTTGCCTTAGTTCGAAGAAAAGTATCAGACTTTTCAAAATTCTAATTTTTATGCCAGAAAGCATGACAGAGTTCAGTTTTATGGTGTCAGGCACAGGCAATTTCATAACACCCAATTTAAAAGCAAGAGTATAGATGAAGTTCATTTTGAAAGGGCTTCTCTTGTTAGTTCTTGGGAACACAGACTACATGAGTAAGTGTTTTAATTCTCTCTCCCTTCAAGGATGGCAGTGCTGATCCTGTGATATCAAGGCTAAATGACTACGTAATGTGGTAGTATGATTCATAAAAGGCCTTATATAAAATTCAGGAAGCGGCTTTGCTTTTCTAAAAAAACTCCCAGTGAAGTAACAACTGGCAGGTGGAGAAAGGATACAGCAGAGGGTGAATGCAAAGGCTGTCCAAACAACCTGGATAATGTACGTGATCTGAAATAAGACAATTTTGCAGAATACTTTAATGAGTAGGTATATTAACATTTTATTCACTTTGCTCTTTTTCAAAGCATAAGACATCACAGCTAAGGGCTCAAACTTCATCCATATTTAATGACAGTTTTACTGTTACAATGGAACCTTTCTGTCTACAGATGGATGTCTTGGTTTGAAACTTGCAGGGAAACAATACTTAGCTTTAAAAACGGATGCAATCATAAAGCAAGAAGGTTCTTTAGGGAACATAATAAATTAGAAAACCAATCATTAATTACTGAGCAAAGTATTTGCAAAAATGAATGATGTACACAGTAAAATTTGTTTCACATGATTTCCAAGTGCACTTACGGTATTTTTATAATTGATCTACTAAGATGTTGCCAACAGAACACTGTCTGCTCAAACTTTTTAGCTTTCCTTTACACAAATGGAGTCTTTTGCTATTTTGTAATTCATCAAAGCAGAGAAACAGGTCTATTAGAAAGACTTACTTCATTGATTAGTTGCAGAAAAAATGTCTTTTTTTTAAATATACAGAAGATTCCTAAGCCATTGATGCACTTCTGAAACTTTTATGAGAAAATTTTCCCTTTTCGAGCTTGTATCTTATTCCTCATTTGCTTGAATATACACAATTCACTGTGAATTAGCATACACTGACTGCCTTATTTGGCCAAGAGCAAAATAATTTCAATGTGAAATCAGTATTTATGCAAGTAAAGAGCCAGAAGACAGAAAAACTGGAATTCCTTCTCCCAGCCCAGTGCTGCAGTGCTGGCTGTAGTGCTCACTCTACTTTGCTTGTAAAAAATGCAAATCTACCGTTTCATTTTAGGCTCTTTGCCTTTTCTCAAAAATAAGCATCTAGTTAGCACACAGATGTGCTAATCCGAGACTGGCCCACAGTGACATCAGTTTTATTGTATGCAGAGGATAGAGGCAGGTTGGTCAGACACGTGCCAGAAAACACTCTCTCTCTAGGAAGCGTCTTTTTCTTTCTTCATGTTCTGGTTCATTTATCTCTCTCTACTGTCCAAACCACTGTTTTTCCTATAATCAAATGCCTGTGTGCTGCTACAGTGAAATGCCTAGTACAACTTGTCACACCACATAATGTAAGAATGAGGGGTTTTAAATTTTAGAAAGCAACCAGCTTGCATATAAACAGCCGTTCTAGGCAGTTCTGATAAGATTACTGTGATAAACAGTTCTCCTGAAGCTGTTGCCCAGGAGTGATATTTTCCCCCTTACTATATAAAGAGTGTGAACGCTTAACTGAATACCTTTGGTGCAGAGAGTCCCGATCCAATATATGCTGTCCTCATGGTTGGTGTGTGAATTGAACGGGGAGGATGATCCATAACCTGAACATAGTCCCCAAAGGATCAATAAGACATCAAATACACACTATCAAAGATAGCTTGCATAAAGTAAAAAGACTACAATGCCCCATCCGCCCCATCCTCAAACATACAAGCAATGAAACCAAACTGATTAACATAGGAAAGGACTCAGAAAATCAGATCTTACTTCTCAGCAAAATGATGTATAAGATTCATCTCCTAAATGTCAAAAATAACTTTAACGTCTTAATATCTTATCTTAATATGTATTTTAATATCATAAACATTTGATTGAATCTTTTCTAATGTAAAATAATCAGTGTTACTTTTTTAAAAGGGAAAGGGGATACATTATTATAGTTGCAGAGCCTGGCTAATATTTCATATTGCCAAGACTTGCAGCAGGACTCCAAAGTGTGCTCTTACAAACTACATTATTACATTAACTTTGTGCCAACATTTCTTAAATATTCACGACAGAGTATGTTATGAAGAGAGACTGTATCTAATAATTGATTCAACATAGTTCCCATGCCTAATCAATTAACCGTATGTGAAAGGAAATTCAACATTCCCTAAAATACAGTTCACCACTAGTACAGAAGGCTATTACAAAGTCCTAAATAGTCTCACTGCAGAGGAGTGAGCTTCATTCTAAACAAAAGGATTTGCAATAGCAATTTTTATATGAGTGAAACTGTTACTCGTAGAAAAAAAAAAAAAAAAGAAAGACAAAAATTTGTCAACACTGAAGTACCTCAATTGGTTCAATTTCACTAGCTGTAGAAGGAGACCTTGATCTTGAATGGAGGTGAGACTTGCTATCTTCATCCCGTGATGGAGTATTAGACAATGTAAAATTCTCAACTGAATCAATCTAGGAGAACAAATCAAGAGAAAAAAAAAAAAAACAACAACCAAAAAACTAAATCAGACATCATTAAAAAAACAATTTTCAACTCTTACCAAAATAAGATATGGGAGCAGTAGAATTCCTAAGAGAGAACTGAGAGGATCAAAATTCACTTTTAAACAACTTCCTAATTGAAGTACAAAAATGGAATGAAAATTATTGAATATGAACACGCCAAGGCTTCTGCTTAGAGGTGAGCACATGCATAAGAGCTGCTAGTTCAGGGGTCTGATAAACACTTGAAGAGACTTGTAATTCAGCATTTTTAAAGGGTGAATGTTTTCTAAACGCTACTGGGTTCTGTCCACTGGTAGTAGAGATTTGTTAGAAGTGAATTCCCATGTAAATCACTGCAAACATATTTAGAAGACAATAAGGAGAAAAGGCAGAGCAAACAACATATTTCCTGAGGTTAGTGTTAATTATATTCACAGAGTATTGAGGTTCTTTTTGTACCCCATTTGAACTACAAAAACATCCTTACCAGAAATACAATTTCTTCAGGGGAATATTTTCCTAGTCCTTGATATACAATGAAACTAAGCCCAACACAGAACTACACTGAACAACAAGGCATATAGGTACAGCCAGGTATCTTGGATAACAAGTCATCTTTTGTCAGTGCAACTGAATCAGAGAATGCAGGATTCTTCCTTGAAAACAAGACATCTCCACATTGACGTTTTCTATGTACATTTATAATTTTTTTTTAAATTATAGTAAGATGAGGATGCTTTTCTCCACTAATAATAAAACTGAAAGCTGGAGGCCTACAGAAGGCTCCATTGCATGCCTGGCTTTTCTGGAGCAATGTTCCCCATTGCTAAGGATTTTGCTAGCTTGCACACAAACTAAAATATGCAGCAACGCTTACAGAAAGCATTTGAACATTCCAGTGTTTTTTATCTCATTTGCCATTGACATACTAAGAATTCCACAAACTTTACTGCTTTTGGGGAATAAAATACATTGCCAAGCCAATCTTACACATGCATATACAGTCCTGTTCTCCAGGAACTCAGTCACGGTAGCGAACAGGTGCAGTTGTTAGCTGGTTTTTTTTTTTTTTTCTCTTTTTTTTTTTTTTTTTTAATAGTAGTGAGCTAAATTTGATGGCTTCTAATTTTATCATAGCCTTAAAAAAAAAAAATCTGGTGGAGAATGCTCATCAGGTTAATCAACTTAGGCATATTAAGATGCCTGTTAAGTACTTCTGTAATGAAAATGGGAAATTCTCACACTGGGATACACCTGTTTTCTACACATAGATCATGTGTTTCAAGCACTGAGGCAAAAATTAGCAGTAAAGCAAACATTTTGTGCTGAGATTTATCAGAAGCAAATAATAATTGGAAGCTTTATCCAGTATTAGAAACATGGATGCCTTTAAGCAGTAAAACCCCAGACACATAGCATTGTTTCAATTATTTTGAACTCTCTTATCGAGTCTAAACATGTGATAACTTGGAGTCCACTCAAAGACTGTTTAACCTCGAACAATTCTACCTTCTTCTTAAAAGTGTTATTAAAAAATAAGCCCAATACTTAACTACAGGCAAATTTTTCATAGCAAGAAACAGACATTGCTTTTCTTCTGCAAGTTAAACTCAGAGATCTAATCTATCATTTCATAAATGTTTCCAGATACTGCAAAGGCTTTCCCTTTCAAAGTAGCATCTGCATACCAAAGAATTTTCATGGTGTCTCTTAAAAAATTTAGTACAAGCATGATATGAATGATGGAACTTTTCTGGAATGTGCTACAAAGCCTTTGTGGTTGAAGACAACTGC